TGTACATTCTATGTCATAAGAAAACAATCTTAGTTAAATACTTAATTAATTTTAGCATAAATACAGGTCCTTCATTGATAGCAGGCGGTACACTGCCTGAAGAAGTCAACCTGTCTAAATATGTTAATTAATAATAAATATAATAATTTTTACATGCCACCATCCTCATATAACAACGAAAATTTATTTAAACAACTCTGTGCACATTTAATTAATTTTTGGATACTTAGTAATTACTTTAGTAGGGGATTTTGGGTAAAGGGTTAGAATTGACCGGTATGGTGTGAAACCTGAGCAATTTCTCATCCATGAAATGTCCCAAATAGTCACCCATTTCTAACCAAACTCCTCCTGCCATTGGCAGAGATGTGAAGGTGAATGCCTGGCGCCTTTTAACCAGGCTGCTCATCTGGCCTTTTCTAAGGGCTATCCATGTCGGAATCACAGCATTACCGCTTTAATATAAAAAGTATATGCGTTTCCTGGACATGCTGAAGAGCTCTGATATTGGTCAAAACAGCCAAAATTCTCATCCAACAATTCAATTAACTTTTCCAAGTCATTTAATTCCAAAGATAAATGTCTGGGAGAAGGTATAGTATGTTTGTGAGATCATAAAAATCGTGTCTTTGATGTACTTTATTATCTTGGTAATTCTGCAAAATCTCATTTCAGGGACTCTAAATTTCAAACTTTTCCGGGGGGCATGTCCCGAACCCCCCTACGCCTATGTATGAAAAATCCTAGATCCGCTCCTGGGTGTTGCCACTGAATAAAATAGCCGCTGGAATCAAAATATTTCCTGCTGGATTTCCCTCGATTAGTGGTTATGATTGCCAGGATACACTATGTCCATCCAAACAATTTGTAGCAATTGTAACTATACTTGTAACTATAATTGTAACTATACCACTAACTATACCTAATTGTAACTATACCACAATGTTGACAAATTTTTTAATAGTTTAGGTAAATGACTTTCAAATACAATAATTATTTTTTTCCACAGCAGGTGTAGTATTACTGCATGAATATTCATCATCTGTTTCAGAGTCATCATCTTAAGCTGAAGGACAATATGAAGAACTGGTATCACTCAGAGAGTCATTATCTGCATCTGTTGAAGATCCTTAATTGGTTTTTAATTCCACAATAATCCCATTTTGGACATCATCACATTCAACCAATGTCAGTTGTTCTTCAGTCACTGGTGTGCATGGTGTTGTACATGGTTCCACCGTGCCTTTATTGTCATCTGTTGAAGAATTATTATTTGGGCCGAAGGAGTAACTGTGATCTTCTAAATGACGTAATTTGTTGATGTCATCAGGGCGTATTTTTGTATTTCCTTGCATGTGTAAATGTTTAGTTTGTGTTCCAACAGTCTTAAGTGCTTTAATAAAATGTTGAACCTGAATCTCTTTATCTTATCTCATAGTTTCAATATGAGTTGAAGTAGAGGTAGTTTGTTCCACATCAGCATTTGAAGTTTCCATATTTTCATTTACATAACAACTATCTGCATCCAGAACAAATATGTCTTGTTCCGATGTTTTTGCAACCTTGATAATATTAACGAATAAAATAGCAAATAACCCCCATTACGAATTACAAGAAGCTCAGAAAACAACGAACTGTGGATACCGCGAACGAAACTAACAATTAGGCAGAAAACGTTGAAATTCAGTGGTGCAACATTATATAACAGCATTACCAGAAATATGGGACATTTTGCGCCCGCATTTGTAGGCAGCGGCTAATCGCTTGAAAAATCAAAATGGCGACTCGAACTGCCAAAGGCAAAGGACGTGTGCCATTCCTTACGAAGTAGTTCTTCGGTACGTTGGTTACCGGGTTTTAAAGCAAACCATTTGTCTGACACAGTTAAATTAAATAAGTCAACATAATTTACATTTTCACAGAAAGTTGTTTCGCGAATATTTTTCCATACATTAAGCAGTGGCCATGGAATCTCCACACAAACTGAAGAGAATCTTGTTAAATAAGTCCACTTGTTGCCTAACATAAGTAAGAGGAGCTTCAGAACTTACTT